TGGAAAGGAGGAGTGTGCTGTCACAGAATGGGGTGAGCAGTTAGGGTCACATAACTATGTATAAAATTTTGTACGGGAGACTAACTTGAAATGTAAACTTCATTTAAGTTACAACAATAAAATAAACAAAACACTGCCAGATTTATAAAGGTACTGATGATAAAAGGCAGTAGTAGTGAAAACTAAAAAAATTTTTAAAAAAAATGAAGTATTCGACTTAACATCAGAACTGACTTACGATTGAGTCCTCGGACCGGAGCCCCGTCGTAGATTGGGGACTACTTGTACTGCCGGGTACATATGATGACTTATGGAAACACCAAGTCTCTGGTCTCTGATCCCCCTTTTCTCACAGTATAGCGAAATTAGTTGATTAACTCCCTTTAGAGGCTTATTGTTTAAAACCAACAAGGAATTAAAAAGAACAAATATTGGGATAGGTAGGTACAAAGTTATAAGAAATTGTTGATGCCAAGTGTCAAGGATTGAGTTGTGTCCCCAAAAAATATCTGTCAGCTTGGCTGGGTCATGATTCCCAGTGTTGTATGATTGTGTAATCTGATGTGATTTCCTTAGGTGTTGTAAACTATATCACTGTGATGAGATTATATGTGATCTCCTTATGTGTTGTAAATTATATCACTGTGATGAGAGTATACTGATGAGGCTGACAAGATTAGTGTCTTAATGCAATCTCTTTTGAGATATAAAAGAAGCGAGCGGAGACACATGGAAACCTCACACCACTCAGAGGTTCCTGCGCTGAGATGCTCCCAGACCAAGGGAAGACTGATGCATCACAAGGACCTTCCTCCAGAGCTGAAAGAGAGAGAAAGCCTTCTGGAGCTGATGCCCTGAATTTGGACTTATAGCCTACTGGACTGTGAGAGAATAAACTTCTCTTTGTTAAAGCCATCCACTTTTGGTATTTCTGCTAGAGCAGCACTAGATGACTAAGACACCAAGTTAAAAGTAAATAAGAATGTAATGCTTGGGAGTCTTAATATTACTCAGAAGTCTATGAGAATAAGAGTAGTTTGATGAACACAAACATTTGAAAGTGGAGTTAACATTTTAATGTTTACATTAGGCTCAGCGTTTTGGCTTTTTTGTTTGTAGGTTTTTGTTGTCTGATTATTCAGTTGGAAAAGATCTGAATTACACAGGTAAGGATGCAAATGGCAAGTTTTTTAAGCTTGGTTTGTAATATCAGGGTACTGGACTAAACTGATCCAGAAGATTCAAAGGATAATGGTTGGATATCCTAGGAATGCAAGGTTGGTGGAACATGTAAAAATCAATAACTCTTAAATCCATCCACCTGTGGACAGCTCATCTTCAACAAAGGTCAAAGTTCATTAAATGGGGAAGAAATAGTCTCTTCAACAAATGGTGCTGGCAAAACTGGATATCCATTTGCAGAAAATGAAACAAGATCCATACCTCACACCATACACAGAAACCAATTCAAAATGGATGAAAGACCTAAATGTAAAACCTGAGACTATAAAGATCATGGAGAAAAAATAGGAATAACTCTCGGGGTTCTGATATATGACATAAATAGAATACCAAACATAACTAGAAGTGCACAAACAGCAGAAGATAAACTAGATGATTGGAATCGCCAAAAAGTTAAATGCCTATGCTCATCAAAAGACTTCACCAAGAGAGTAAAAAGAGAACCTACACACTGGGAAAAAAATTTTTAGCTACTACGTATTGAACAAAGGTCTAACCTGTAAAATTTATACAAAACTTCAACACCTCAACAACAAAAAGACAACCCAATTAAATGGGCAAAGGACATGAACAGACACTTTGCCATTCAGGCAGCTAACAAACGTGTGAAGAGATGCTCATGATCATTAGCCATTAGAGAGATGCAGATGAGAACTACAGTGCAATACCATCTCAGCCCTGCAATATTGGGATTGATCAAAAAAACAAAACGTGCTGGTGAAGTTGTGGGGAGATTGGAGCTCTTATATATTGCTGGTGGAAATCCAAAATGGTACAACCACTATGGAAAATGGAATGGCACTTCCTTAAAATGCTAGAAATAGAAATACCATATGATCCAGCAATCCTGCTCCTAGGCATATGTCCTAGAGAAATAAGAGCCATGACAAGAATAGACATATGCACACTCTTGTTCACTGCTGCATTATTCACAAGAGCAAAAAGATGGAAACAACCTAAGTGCCCATCAACGGATGAAAAAATGTGTATCAGCTCAGCTAGGCCATGATTCCCAGTATTGTGTGGTGGTTGTCCATTTTGTGATGTGATGTAATTAAGTGTTGTAAATCCTAATCTCTATTATGTTAATGAGACAAGACACAGTCTACGGGAGTAGATTGTGTCTTGAGTCAGTCTTTTGAGATACAAAAGAAGCAAGCAGAGAGGAGATGGACCTCATACCACCAAGAAAGAAGAGCTGGGAGTGGAGCATGTCCTTAGGACCTGGGTTCCCTGTGCTTAGAAGCTCCTAGACCAGGGAAAGATTGATACAAGGACGGTGCCTCAGAACCAGCAGAGAGAGAGCCTTCCCTGGGAGCTGGTGCCCTGAATTCGGATGTCTAGCATCCTAAACTGTGAGAGAATAAACTTCTGTTTGTTAAATCCATCCACTAGTGATATTTCTGTTATAGCAGCACTAGATAACTAAGACGTTGTGGCACATACGTTCAGCGAAATACTACACAACGATAATGATGAATCTGCGAAACATCTCGCAACATGGATGAATTTGGAGGACATTATGCTGAGTGAAATAAGTTTATCACAAAAGGACAAATGTTGTATGAGACGGCTATTATAAATAGTCAAGAAAAGGTTTACACACAAAGAAACATTTTTTGATGGTTACCAGGGATGGGAGGGGGAGATAGAGAGTAGACACATGTTAACTTTGGTGAAGGGAAAGGCAGTACACAGCATGGGGGAAATCAGCACAGCATAGCCAAGGCAAGGGAAGAGACAGAGGTAAGCAATAATAAAAAGCAGTAAAGGTAAGTACTATAATAAACCCTGGTGACATAGTGGTTAAGTGCTATGGTTGGTAACCAAAAGGTCAGCAGTTCGAATCCACCAGGTGCTCCTTGGAAACTCTATGGGGCAGTTCTACTCGGTCCTGTAGGGTCGCTGTGAGTTGGAATCGACTTGACAGCAATGGGTTTGGTTTTGATTTTATAATATACACAATCCTGCAGCAGCAGTAATAACAATTTATGAGTGGATACGTATGTAAATATGAATACTGAAAGGGTGTGAGAGGGCGTATAGTAGTACACACACGTGCATATGTAGATTTGGCTGTGGATATTTCTGCATATTTGTGCTGCATATACATTCATATATATAATAGAGCACATGGCACGGTCACGGAAACAGTCTAGACATAATTAAACACCTCGTGGGACTGAGTTACCGGGCTTGAAAGGCTTAGGATTATGTAGTTTTGGGGGACATCTAGATCTATTGGCATAACATAGTTCATAAAGAAGACATTCTGTATCCTACTTGGTGAGTAGTGTCTGAGGTCTTAAAAGCTTGTGAGCGGCTGTCTAAGATACACCTGTTGGTCTTTCCGTCCGGAGCAAAGGAGAGTGAAGAAAACCAAAGACTCGAGGAAACAATTAGTCCAAAGGACTAATGAACCACACGAACCATAGCCTCCACTAGCCTGAGACCAGAAGAACTAGGTGGTACCTGGCTACTACTACTGACTGCTCTGACCAGGATCACGCTAGAAGGTCCCTGTTAGAGTGGGGGAAAAAAATGTACAACAAAACTCAATTTCATAAAAAAGACCAGGTTTACTGGTCTGAGAGAGACTGGAGGAACTCCTGAGACTGTCGACCTTAGATACCCTTCTAACTTGGAACTGAAGCCGATCCTGGAGATCACCTTTCACTCCTACAAATAAAAAAAAACATACATGAAGAGAGTGCTCCTTAGAACAGTCATCTACATGAAACCAAAAGGACAGCATATGCCCAGAAGCAAAGATGAGAAAACAGGAAGGGGCAGGAAGACTGGACAGATGGAAATGTGGAACTCAGTGCGGTAATGCAGAGAGTACTGACATTTGTAGGGATTGCAACCAGTGTCATGGAACAATTTGTATATGAACTATTGAATGGGAAACTAATTTGCTCTGTAAACCTTCACCTAAAGCACAATTAAAAAAATAATAAAAACCTCTTGCAACGCAATAGTAAAAAGATATCCCAATTTAAAAATGCACAATGGATCTGAGTTGACATTTCTCCAAGAAGGTAAAAAAAAAATCAGTGTTGTTGTTGTATGTCGTCAATTCCGACTCATAGTGACCTTATATGAACTGCCCCATAGAGTTTAGGCTGTAATCTTTATTCGAGCAGCTCACCAGTCAACATCATTAGGGAAATGCAAATGAAAACCACCGTGAGATACCACTTCACACCCACTAGGATGGCTGTTTTTTTTTTTTAAAAAAAAAAAAGATGGAAAGTAACATGTGTTGGCAAGGATGTGGAGAAATTGGAACTTTCATGCTGGTGGGAATGTAAAATGGTAAAGCTACTGTACTTTGGAAAACAATCTAGTAGTTTCTCAAAATATTGAACTTGACTTACATAGATTCAGCAATTCTACTACTAAGTATATACCCAAGAGAAATGAAAACGTATGTCCACACAAACACTTGTATGTGAATGTTCATAGCATTATTCATAATAACCAAAAAGTAGAAACAAAAATGTATAGCCATACTATGGAATACTACCTGGCAGTGGAGAGGAATGAAGTAATGATACCTGCCTCAAAATGGATGAGCCTTGAAACATTGTTAGGTGAAAGAAGCTAGTCACGAAAGACTACATATTGAATGATTCCATTTACATGAAATGTTCAGAATGGGCAAAAAAGTAGATTAGTGTTTGTCTGAGTTGAGCGGAGATGGGGAAGTGACTACTAATGGGCATGGGGTTTCTTTTGAGGAAGGAAAATTGCTGTAAAATTGATTGTAGTATTGGTTGCAAAAAAGAGTAATGCTGGAACTTATTGTTTCAGAGTTGAGTTACTAACAGTATTTGACAACTGCTGCATTCCATAATTGGGCATTAAGGCCTTTGCATTTCCCTTACAACATTGAGCATCTTTTCATGTGCTTATTGGCCATTTTTATATCTTCTTGGAGAAATGTCATATCAGATCCTTTGTCCATTTTTAAATTGGGATGTCTTTTCATTATTGAGTTGTAAGAGATTTTTTTTTTTCCCAAAATAAAAGTAAGTTGATAATTAGGATCTTGCCAGTTTAAAGCTTCATTGTCTTGCAGAAAATTCTTTTTAAACATTGTGTTTTAACACTGTGTGTTCATTGATTTTATTTTAAAAGTACCCCTCTGTCAATAGTTTACTCAGAATTTCAAAAGTAATCACATGTATTTTGCTTCAGTGTTGAACCCAAACTGAAAGATTATACTCTAGCTCCAGTTATAGTAACATTGTGACACTACAGTGCCAGGGTCAGGCTTATTAAGATAGACATAAAAGTAGATTCTGTATTAAAAAAAAAAAAAAATTGGGATTTTTAATTTCATTTCATTGCAAACATTTGTACTAGCATCTTCGTTTGGAAAGCTAGAGGGGCTTCAGAATTGAACAAGTGTTTTTTTGACTTCATGGTGTCTGTTATAAATAGCCATGGAAAGCTTAAATTTAAATAACTATTCATGAATAAAAATTACATTTTATGAAACTTTTTTACGTACTTTTGAAGAATGCAGACATCCTAACAATTCAACTCATGTAGTGATATTGGCAACAGTTTTTGTCTGACGTACTGTTTGTGGTTTCTCCTGCTAGTGCTTGTGTATTGTCACTACTTTTGCATTCTGACAAAAATGCTTTAAATAAGTCATATTAAGTAATAAAATTTCCTCTTGCTAGCCCAGTTGAACATCTAGTATAAAAACAAGGGGAATTTAAAGATTTCCAATATTCATAGTGTCATCAAATTAAAATTGGAAAGATTTCACATAATCTAAACCTCCTGTTTCCAAGCTGGAAACGAAGAAGGATTGGTGGTTGGAAAATAAGGCCGTGATGAAAGAAACAGTGTCGGAGATTGCATGATAGAATTTTGTAAGACAAATGATTTATTCATTGCAAATACTTTTTTCAACAACATAAATGGTGACTATACATGTGGACCTCATCGGATGGAATACACAGGAATCAAATCAACTACATCTGTGGAAAGAAACGATGGAAAAGCTCTATATTGTCAGTCAGAACGAGGCCAGGGGCTGACTGCAGTTACTATTGATTACTCATGTACAGGTTCAAGTTGAGGCTGAAGAAAATTAACACAAATCCATGACAGCCAAAGTAGGACTTTAAGAATATCCCATCTGAACTTGCAGACCATCTCAAGAATAGATTTGATGCATTGAATACTGATGACCAAAGACCATATGATTTGTGGGATGACAAGGACATCATGCGTGAAGAAACCCAAAGGTCGTTGAAAAGACAGGAAAGAAAGAAGAGACCAAAATGGATGTCAGAAAAGACTCTGAAACTTGAGTCTTGAACATAGAGTAGCTAAAGCGAAAGGAAGAAATGATGACGTGAAAGAGATGAATAGAAGATTTCAAAGGACAGCTCAAGAAGACAAAGTATTATAAGGAAACGTGCGAACACCTGGAGTTAGAAAACCAAAAAGGCAGAACATGCTTGGCATTTCTCAAGCTGAAAGAACCAAAGAAAAAATTCAAGCCTCGAGTTGCAATGTTGAAGGATTCTATGGGCAAAATACTGAATGAAGCAGGAAGCATCAAGGGAAAATGGAAGGAATACACAGAGTTACTATACCAAAAAGAATCGGTTGACGTTCAACCATTTCAGGAAGTAGCATAAGGTCAAGAACCGATGATATTGAAGAAGTCTAAGCTGCACTAAAGGCACTGGTGAAAAACAAGGCTCCAGGAATTGACAGGATACCAACTGAGATGTTTCAACAAACAAATGCAGCGCTGGAATTGCTCACTCATCTATGCCGAGAAATTTGGAAGACAACTGCCTGGCTAACTGGCTGGAAGAGATCCATATCTGTGCCCATTCCAGAGAAAAGTGATCCACACAATGCGGAAATTATTGAACAATATCATTAATA